CATCCAATCTTGTGCCATCATCGTTATTCCCAGTTCTTCAAGCTGGCCCGTCCAACACGATGCCCTAGTTCACATGTAATTAAAGAGATCAAAAGTGCTGATGTTAAGATTCATTCAATACATTAACGGCACCGATACGGTCACGTTAGACATAAACCTGACAAAAATGTGTGAACATAGGCGAATCCAGGAGGAGGCGCCATTCCAAGGCTTAACTTACTTCTGGTTACAATGTTTCATAACGTCTAGGAGAATCTAGATCTGCAAATTTTCTTTAGGGGGAGGTATGCCCTCCACCCCTCACCCGTCAGTTGGTTTCATCAGCTGATATGGCCCCAGATCAAAATATTGCCTGGGAATTTTGCATTGATTTTGTAGTTTGGAAGGGGTGTGAAAACACCGTGTTACTTAACATTGTTATTTTTAAATGTAACATAAGATATGTAATTTTATCTTTTGAACAATAAAGACTCTTTATTTATTTATTTATTTATTTATTGTATTTTGTCCGCCATATAAAATTCTCTCATATGAATATTTTTGTCAAAATAGCTAATAATTTCTCTACAGCAATGTAAAGTCCCGTTAGCTTCGTGTCATTTCTTATGTCAAAGTACAACTTCTGGCTAGAAGTCCCCATCCCCCATTCTCCACTAGAGAAAAACGACAACTAAATGAAGAAAACTAAGTGAAGGGACGGTTGTCGAAGCCTAAGAATCAAAATGATTACTCGCCATGTATTTCCTACAATGTATAGACCACTATTACCAAGAAGATGCTCGCTATGAAAAAGCTAAGCTCTCGATGTGAGATCAGTAGTGTCTAGTTGTAAAAGGTACCAGACATTTTTTATACTATCATTAACATTCATTGTACACACACACAGAAGACAAACTGTAAGGAAACTATGGCGAGTTACCTCCACATTGTGGACGGTGCGCTTGAATGTCTTCATCTCCTCTGCCAATAAATGTAGGTCCGTTCGCCACTTGTTCACTGCCCTTTCAGTTCGCAGTAAGGCAAAAGCCTCCTTGTTGTCGTTCAAAACAAACATTTTCCACACGGGAACTAGTTCCTTAAAGAATATTAACGACGGATCAACGCAACTTTACTTTCAATCCACTTGGTAGTTACCGCGTGCGAAGGTGAACATGACTTAGTTCTTATTAACCGAGCTTAGTCGGTATGTATGGGAGAATCTTGACCGAGGTCGTAAGTACAGACCGAACGCAGTGAGGTCTGTATACACGACCGAGGTCAAGATTCTCCCATACATACCGACTAAGCTCGGTTAATAAGATGTTTATTATATGGCAAACAAGAACAATTTAATTCGTTTAATGTACCTGGTTTCTACTAACTGAAATAGGGAGCTTAAGAAACCACGACGGTGACGCCGAGGACAACGTTGATTAAAAAATGAATTTATATTTTACCTACGAATCTCGCGATACCCTAAGGTCATTTAATTTTTTTGTCACTGTCAAAGCTATTACGAAACTGAATCTAGGACACAGCGATAAATTCGAAATAAAAATTAAAAAAAAAAAAGCCGTCGTGGTTCACGTTCTCCAGACAACGCAGAAATTGGTCATTTCACGTTGTTATTTTGCAGAGGATGGCAAAGAAATGTACCAAGAATTATAACGCACGTGCACAGTCATTGTTATCCTCATTAGAGCTTTTGTTTAGCGACGTTGCCGTTGCCGTTGCCGTTGCCGTCGTGGTTTTCTTAGGCTCCCTATTTTGCTTGCGAACGGCGATGAGCCGAACTTAATTCTGCCAAAGTTAGCTCTTTACTTTTTTTTCTCATTAGGCTTTTTGGCACTTCCATAAGTAAACATTGTTAGAAGAAAATAGTCAATATTTTTGCATTTTAGTTTGCAACTTTTTCACATCAAAATGTAGCCGGTCTAGATGAAGGTCTAGATGGGAAAATCTAGACCGCTTTCAGTATCGATTTCAGCCAATCAAATTCGTGAATCCGCTAGTTCTCAGTCCTTGGAGAGACAACCATATAATAATTAGCTCTTATTAACCGAGCACGAGGTCTGTATTGGAGAATCTTTACCGAGGTCGTAAGTACAGACCTCACTGCGTTCGGTCTGTACACACGACCGAGGTCAAAATTCTCCCATACAGACCGACTTAGCTCGGTTAATAAGAACTAAGTCATGTTCACCTTCGCACGCGGTAACTACCAAGTGGATTGAAAGTAAAGTTGCGTTGATCCGTCGTTAATATTCTTTAAGGAACTAGTTCCCGTGTGGAAAATGTTTGTTTTGAACGACAACAAGGAGGCTTTTGCCTTACTGCGAACTGAAAGGGCAGTGAACAAGTGGCGAACGGACCTACATTTATTGGCAGAGGAGATGAAGACATTCAAGCGCACCGTCCACAATGTGGAGGTAACTCGCCATAGTTTCCTTACAGTTTGTCTTCTGTGTGTGTGTACAATGAATGTTAATGATAGTATAAAAAATGTCTGGTACCTTTTACAACTAGACACTACTGATCTCACATCGAGAGCTTAGCTTTTTCATAGCGAGCATCTTCTTGGTAATAGTGGTCTATACATTGTAGGAAATACATGGCGAGTAATCATTTTGATTCTTAGGCTTCGACAACCGTCCCTTCACTTAGTTTTCTTCATTTAGTTGTCGTTTTTCTCTAGTGGAGAATGGGGGATGGGGACTTCTAGCCAGAAGTTGTACTTTGACATAAGAAATGACACGAAGCTAACGGGACTTTACATTGCTGTAGAGAAATTATTAGCTATTTTGACAAAAATATTCATATGAGAGAATTTTATATGGCGGACAAAATACAATAAATAAATAAATAAATAAATAAAGAGTCTTTATTGTTCAAAAGATAAAATTACATATCTTATGTTACATTTAAAAATAACAATGTTAAGTAACACGGTGTTTTCACACCCCTTCCAAACTACAAAATCAATGCAAAATTCCCAGGCAATATTTTGATCTGGGGCCATATCAGCTGATGAAACCAACTGACGGGTGAGGGGTGGAGGGCATACCTCCCCCTAAAGAAAATTTGCAGATCTAGATTCTCCTAGACGTTATGAAACATTGTAACCAGAAGTAAGTTAAGCCTTGGAATGGCGCCTCCTCCTGGATTCGCCTATGTTCACACATTTTTGTCAGGTTTATGTCTAACGTGACCGTATCGGT